TGCATACTTTGTACAGAAGCAAGTTAACTCGTACCATTGTAAACTCGTACCAACGTAAACTCGTACCACTGGGAAGTCGTACCAATCAGAACTCTTACCACTGCAAACTCGTACCATTAAAAATATATTCAAAAATACGAAAGTTTTATGATTTTTTTTTTGGTAAACTAAATAAAAAAAGTTGAATTACTTGAATTTTATACTAGATTTTAATGAAAACTTAGACAAAAATACGAATGTTTTATGATTTTTTTTTTTTAAAGCTTTATACAAAAAATTAAAATATCTTTGAAATTTATACCAGATTTTAATGAAAACTTAGACAAAAATACAAATGTAATTTCTTAATTACCATGCTAATAAATATATTAAATTCCTTTGATTGTGTGATTATTGGTTGATTATTAACTAATCAACTTGTTTTTTTTTATCTTTTACTAATCAACTTGTATAATCATATAAGCATGGTCATATTCTGCTGAAATGTGCTGAATATTGTATAAAAATAAATTTCATACTTTCTAACTGTTGGTCATAAACAATTTTAAACCTTTAAAACACAATCAATAAATTCTTTCATTAAATAAAATTCCTTTTAGAAACAATAGAAAAATACCCAAATCTATTCAATGTTACTGATTTGGAATGATTAAAAACTAAATCAAATAGTTGTCAGTAAAAGTTTAAAAAAGAGTCTATTCAAGGGAGACAACAAAGCTAATCTGCCACGGTTTTCTCTATCCAATTAGACAAGGAAAATTAGCTACAAATTGGTTATTGTAATTTCAAATTATATACATTTTACAGACTTAAGAGGTATTGAGTAAAATTAAAGTATATATTCATCATTAAACACCGTTTGAATGCATTTAAATAAGTTGGTACGAGTTTACAATGGTATGAATTTACCGTGGTACGAGTTAGCAGTGGTACGAGTTTGCATTGGAACGAGTTTTTGTTTAGTGGTACGAGTTGACATTGGTACGAGTTACAATGGTACGAGATAACTATAATTCCTTTGTACTCGTAACCTGGCAAAATATTAACTAGATTTATTCATTACAATCTGGATAAAACTATGTTAGCCTGATTCAATGTACATCAAAATGTATGTTATGTAAATCCAAAGGACAAACAATGAGAGACGTATGCAACAAACATACATTGTTTGTACCTAAATAACTATAATATAGATGAGAGCATGTCATTGTTTTGTTCCTGTTAACATTGTCATTGATATTTTTCAAGAAAGTCTATGAGGCATAGCTTATGCATTCCTGTCATTACTACATAAGCATAATTACTGCTAAAATAATTCTCAGTATGATATACCTCTTGTAAGAAATCATTATAATTGTAGCAAGCACCAAAAAATCTCAAACAGATCACATTGAATCGTAATCCAAAAAATTATGACGTCTTGAATTAACCACCCCCTTTTATTCTAAAACGATAATTGCGGTTGTAAACTGACTTTGGTTTATTTGCATGGCGATTACATATATAACTATATATTTCACAAAGAAAATAGAGTTTTACCATGAATAGTTTCCTGCACGTAGTCTTTTTCAGTAAAACGTGCCTTGCAAACAACAGCTGATTGAGATGGACTCCACGATATCATCGTGTTCTCGTCCAATCTGCGTATGGGCAATGGCGTTGATCCAACTTTTCCTTCTTTTTAAGTCATTTGGAAATGCATGTCCTCCTCTTAAATGACATCCAGGTACACAACAACAAGTACTTGGCATCGTTAATTAAAAATATAACTGAAATAGTTGCACTGTGCAGAAACCGGAAGTTGAGGAACAGGATCCGCTACCACGGCGCCACCTATTCAGGAACGATAATTTGCTACTTTATATAACTGCGAAATAACAATAACGTTAGACGGGTTCACGTGCATAAACAGAAATGCGCTTTAAATTGTATAATATAATTCATGTTCAGTCGACCTTTAATTATTATATCAACGACTGAAATGATTTATAAACATCTAGATTGCAGATAGCACTCGAAATTAACCCGAGCTCTTTCCCACGGAATTCAAATAATTCTAGTTTGTCAATCGGTTGACTGCTTATAATGCAAAATACTTATAAATCAAAAGTTTTTAAAACTAACAAAACACAATGATCGTTTCTCTATTTCCCAATGTAAATGAAATGAGACAAAAAACATTTTATACCACAATAAGAAGAGGAGAGAATCAACATTTTCCGGATCTACTTGGAGCTAAATGACCCCCCACGTAGATAAGTTGGATATCGCGGAAAGAAATATTAACACGGCAACTAGAAAGGCATTAAAGCACTGCCTTTAAAAAGCAAGAAATGTCAATTCTAATTTTTTTTTTTTGAATATCAGAAAAATAAGGATGGCAGATCCATAAACCAACAAATTAAATAAATGGAGAATGTGTCCCCATGGACACAGATGATGCCCCCGCTTGCATACAACATTATAAAGGGACATAAATCAAGAACGATAAAAGTGACGCTACCCAAATTTGTACTTGATCTGAGTCTTAAGGTAATAAGTATTGTGTATAGGTTTTAAAATGTTTGGTTGGGGCAAACTTAAGTTACAGAACGGAAACTAAAAATTTTGCAATTTTTCTATTTATAAAGGGGCATAACTCGATAATGATTAAAGTGACACTACCAAAATTCAACTTGATCTGTGTTTTGTGGAAAAAAGCATTGTGTATAAGTTTCATAACATTTGGTTGAGGCAAATTAAGTTAGAGAACGGAAACTAAAAATTTTGCATTTTTTTCCATGTATAAAGGGACATAACTCTAGAACAGTTAAAGTGACGCCACCAAAATTCAAACTTGATCTGTGTTTTGTGGTAATTAGCATTGTGTATAAGTTTCATAACATTTGGTTGAGGCAAACTCAAGTTAGAGAACGGAAACCAATTTTGGGACGTACAGATGTACGTACAGACGGACAAGGGTAAAACTTAATGCCCCCTCCGCTACAGCGGGGGCATAAAAGCCCTCACCTTAATTCCAATGACCCATTTTAATTTCCTGATTATAACAATTTAAACTCAACAGATAACTACAGTTTACCAATTAATGAACCTTTGTGAGCACGCTCACATACCCCATGCCCCCGCATTGTCACTGGGCAAACAAAATCTCATCAGATTCCTAACTTTAAAGACTTAGAACTCCTAATAAAGTCAACTGATAACATTTTTTTGTGGATATGCACATCTATATACTATGTCCTCATTAACTACAAAGTCTCATGAAATTCTGTTGTGCGGTTTCAGGAGTTGCGATGACGAACTGTTGCAGCTGTATAGGCCAAAATTCTAAGTTCAAAGGGGCTTATATTAACTCCTAAAAAAATAAACTGTTGACACAGAGATATGTCTCGCATATGTGCATAAAATTCAGAAAAAGACAATCTGATGGACAGCAACATAGCTTATTAATTCAGTCACTGGACCATGATCTAGTGGGCAGGGCCTGAAAACGGTTGACAAACTGAGATGTCCCTATGTTTCGCTTTCCGCGACGAAGCAGGCGAGACAAAAATTGAATCATAATTTCCGTCGATATGCACATCTACATAGTATATCCTTATTAACTACAAAGTATCATGAAATTCTCAAGTGTGGTTTCAGAGGAGTTGTGATGACAAACTGTTGCAGTAGTATATTTAGGCCAAAATTAAGTTCAAAGGGGCATAACTCCTAGAAAAAAAATTGAATCATGATTTCCTGTCAATTTGCACATCTACATAGTATGTCCTTACTATCTACAAAGTTTCATTAAATTCTGTTGTGTGGTTTCAGAGGAGCAGTCTTTGAATTTAGCCACAAATCCGACACCAATGGCTTGTAAATTTAATTGTAATTATTCTGTTGTTACTAATCCGACTGGTTTGTGGAAAATTTCCTGAGGGACTAGTTTATATTGTCAAATCACCGGTCCAAAGTGTATTTGTATTTTGTCACTGTTCGCTTCCCTAAAATCTAGTCGTTTTCAACAGACAGGCCTTCACCTGGTATCCTGGTGAACTCCCCATTTACTCTTTATAATGAGGCCGCTTAAACTTATAGCTTACGGTATTGAAGATAAATACATTTTGTATCGGCTTCTTTGATTGGTCGATATCTAAATTAGGACAATCATGGCATGATGGCGTCATTTTTGAAGTATGTGAAAGGTGCTCAACTGGGAAAGCCAAATAAAAGACTGGCATCAATTGAAAACAGACATATGTCAAAACGCAAATACGATTAAGAGGTCAGGGAACGTAAATTTCTCGATGTTTGAACCAAGGACAGATTGTGGTTGTATAATTGAATTTACAAGAGAATGAATTAATAAAATTTATGAAGAAAATGTATATTCATGATATTGTGTTCAATATTACTAATCCTAGTGAATTTATATATTTGGTATCTTCAAAACATGACTCTCAAAGCTCTCACAATGCAGGATTTTTCAAAAAATTTCGGGGGGCGGGGGCATGCCCCTAGGCCCTCCTAGCAAGTTCGTGCCCATTGAACCTGATATAGGATAGACACAAGGACATACATGTATATAGACTGAGGACTGGAAAACATATTTCCTCCATCTATCATAGGCAGGGCATATAAAAGTGAGCTTCAATAACTACACACAAATTATTACTTTTCGTTTCTGTAAGACTTTAACTTTGCCTCTTGATTTTTTGTTATCTACTGGAATTTTGTAAGCTAGCAAAACTTTGCTTGGCAGTGTAAAACATTAATTTCCTTTCCAACTTTCAAAAGCCCACTTCATAGGTCCATTCAAATCTAGAGATCACATACACTCTTTGATGATATACAAACTCAGTGTTGAAGGCCTCAATGTGGATTAGAGATTTGTCATATGTGTGTAGGGGTATCATGAACTATTACACCATATTCCTTCTGTTCAGCCCCACACTTCTTAAACAAAATTTGAATTACTGCTAGTCCAGATAAATTGCATACCAGTCAACTAAACCTACCTTATCCCTTTATCTGTAATATGAGAACAGCCAGATAAATTGAGATACTGAAGTCCACATGCTAAATTATCACAGATGATTTCAGATTCATGTCCATGTTTTTTAGCACAGATTTTAGTCCATTCATCTGTTTCAGTCAGATATTTAAAGTTCATGCTTTTGGAATTCTGATCAAAAAGTTTAACTGATGGAGATTCCAAACAACAATTCTTGGGACAACATAAACTAGTCCTTTGTCCAAACAAAGAAATATTCCCAGTGTTAAACGTCAATCTAGGAGATTCCTCAGTTATATAGCCAACCTTTAATGTTGGAGTTGCTGCCATTGTTATGTCAACAGATCTGCCTTTCTGGTTTGCCAAAATTTCTGAAGTTCTTGGAGAATGATCTTCTATGTCATTCATGAAAGAAATATTACAGTCTTCACTGACTATTTGTTCTCTAATATTCTGTCTACAAGTCAAATGACAATCTGAATCTTTTGAAGTCAGAGATTTATCTCCCTTTTCATTCAATTCAATTTCATTCTTTTCTTCGTGATTGGTATCATCGATGTCTTCATGTCTGATTTCAGGTTTTGAACGTAATGCTTGTGACAATCTTTCTAAAGTCACATCAGTAATATTCTTACAGCCAGCTAAATCTACTCTTTTTAGATTACTTCCACACCCATTTCTACCAAGGCTGAAAAACAAAAGTTTCAATTTATTTATTTGATTAAAACAATAGTTCAATTTTAGACTGCAATCTGCAACAACTTATCGATTAGATAATAAACTGTTAACACAAAGAAATGTCTTGCCTTTTTGTTATTTGATAGTAAAATGCAAATGTTGAAATTAAAATAGCAATACTTGTATGTATGCAAAATATTCAGCCAATATACCATGACTGAGGGGACAGGGCCAAATAATCTCCATGGAAATGAGATGTGCCTATGCTAATACAACTGCATACCAAATACCATTGATCTACCATTAGTGGTTCCTCATAAACTGACCTAATAAAAAATTAATACATTGTTGATGCTGCTGCCGCCGCTGCCGGAAACAGCATACCTTTGTCTCGCTTTTTGACTCCGTAAAGGCTAGACAAAAATCATCAATAAATCTTTTCTGTACAGTTCCTGTAGATATTAATTGATAAATAAATCAATTTTAGTTTGAAAAATAAGTAACGAACTATTTAATTGAAGTGAAATTTCAATCAGTATCTAATTTTACATCGAAAATAATAACATGTAGAAAAAAATATTTTATTCACTAAAATGCAACAAAAAAAATAGGAGTACCTTAAATAGGTACCTTTTCTTGATAGCAGACTGATATTACATAGTGATGTATGCACTATTTCTATCAATGAAAGAAGGTCAAAAACAGTATAAACAACTCATATGTGACAGGACAATTACATGTAAATGAGATACCAATATACAGTGCTTTGTTGTCAATCAAATTGCTAAGTTTTTATTTTCTAGCTTAATAGCTAACAAGGAAACAGTCTGCAAGAAGACTTTTAAGCCCTCCTAACAACATTATTCTGGTTCTGAGCCAAACAGTCTTTATTTACTGCTAAAGGCACATGCTTCATTGTGTAGCTGCAAATGCCAATTTTAAGTCTTTGGTTTGATCCAATAGGTAACTGAACTCCTAAACTCCCACAATAGAGGCATATATGCTACCACAAGACAACCAAGTGGGTATGTCATTTTTAAAGAATCAAGTTAATAGGTAAGACCTAAATCAGTATTGAGATGTTTTTGCTCCACTGGTTTAATCTTCTGAAGAATCTTACTTCTTATAGCTTAATTGTACAAATGATTACTTAAACTAGTGTTGATATTTCACTCTATTAATTCCTCCAGAAAAAAAAAGATGTACAAAGAGCTTATAAGATTTTTCATATTTGTCAATTCCATACAACTTAATATATTTCATCACAATATTGCTAGCATTTTATTTTCTACTAACCTTTTAAAGCCAAGATCTGATACCCTTGTATGAGTCAAATCTAGGTTTTCAACAAGTGGACATAATGACAGCATCTTATACAACTAAAAAAAGAAACCAATGCTAAAATCACAAGATGGACTCCAAATAAAATGTAGAATATGAGAGAAAAGAGTTCAATTTAGTTATTTTTTATCAAAAGATGCATATTTTTTTTCTTTTTAAGTAGCTACACTTTATGTGATACACTGATCATTCAACCATCAAGTTAACTGCTTGTCTCAGAAGTCTTGACAACATTTCCAGATTATTTCAATCTACAGTATAAATATATAAATTTTATACATGTAACTGTAAATTATCTTTTAATTATCTCCCTTATACTATACATTTATATGAATGACTGAGAACCATAATACTTACTGTTGTGACTGTGACTTTGTCTACGTGTCTGTGATTATGCAATACAGTGTTAACGTTGTTTCCCTAGTGATGTGAGAGGAGAGAGATGTTTTGAATGGGACTGTTGACGAATGAACAGAATAGCTGGAATGGTGTGCACTGTCGGAGTGAATGCAGTGTGTTTTGTATTTTATGTGAACTTTGTAACGTCTGTATGATACATGCAGTGTGAATAAATCGTGTTATTTTCTACAAAGATGATGTTTATTTATAGATATGAAGGCTGGGAATCTTACGTTTACAACACTTACCAAACCATTAACAAGACCTTGACTGAAAGCAAGATTTATTGTCTTTACACCATACCCTACTTTAGGTAATAGATACTTCATCATACATGTCAACATACTCGTTTCCCTTTTTATCTTAAATAGAAAGAACACAAAAGTTTATGCAACAATATTTGTCTGAAATAAATCATGGTGTTATATTGAATAGAGTTTTATCACCATTTAATTATAAATTAAAATGTAAATATACAAATGAAATTGTTTTGTATGAAATACATGTATATTTTTCACTTTTTATAAAGTTTTCAAGAAATACCTTGTTCCACATTTTCTCATTTTCGTATTTCATACTGCATTATTAAAAAGAAGTTAAAACTATTAATCCCCTTTTAAAGTTACCCCCTAAATTATCATTATTTGTTTAATGTATTGCATTTAATAATTATTTTAGCTATTTAGATCCATGTGTTTGCACTTGTTTTATAGTAGCTTGGCTTGTTGTGACTACTGTAATACCAGTGACCAGATTCCAATGAGTTCACATAAATTTTTTTTGATTCTTTGGGGTTACAAATGCCACTCACTTGATCAATGCAAGACCGAGTAATTTTCCACAAATAGTCTCTAAGGTAGATATTAGTACGCTGATATTGCACACTTCAAATGATGCACTGTCAATTGAACAGTTTACGAATTTATATCAAATGTCAAGTTTAAAATCGTTTTTGTGTCAATCATTGTTTATATGAAGCCCAACTGATTAAAATGCTTGCCTTTTGTTACCAAGTTTTAAGGGACTGAAATCGGGATAAGACAAATAATGTTCAGCTGTCTCAAATATTTTTTGGAAGCCCTGGTGTTGAGTCAGAAAATTATGCATCCATTTAGAAATGAACACACCTACACAAGAACCCCATTACAAACAAGCTTGTTTTAGTAACTGTCTCTGTTCAGTAGTGTATGTTTGATTTGAGATTACTAATATTCTTTTATTAGAAAGTAGGGTCGCTATAAGACCTTTTTTGAATTTGAAAATTCTTTATTGTGACTATAACATTAACTATACATGCATGAGAATTTCCCTACATTTAAGTAAAAATGTACATTGCTAACATAATGTACATAGTACCCTTTTAATCTGTTTAGTATCATCATCTTCTTCAGATTCATCAATGTCTGCATCTTCATCATAAAATATGGCTACATCATCATTGTTCTCTAACAAGTTTTGTTCTTCTACTTCTATATCTACCATGGGAGTAAAACTCCAAACTCCTAAAAAATCATAGTATCTCATTAAAACCTACTGGGAACATTTACTACATTTATTCAATATTTCCCTGTAAAACAGCATCTACAATATAAAACTTTTATATACTATATTTCAGATGATGATGATAATAGATCATCACTTAGATACAAAAGTAATAGAAATATGTTAGTCTAAACTTGGATATAATATATATATAATATATGAGAGAAACTAGATGTGTTGGAACGACATGAATGGTCCAGCTCGCCAAAAAAGCATGAAGCCATTTTTAGGAGTGGAAATTTGAGAATGAAAGAGTGTATCAGGGCTTCCAAAACGGTCGTACTGTCTGGATTTGACCGTTAAATTAAATTTTTGACTCGATGTGCCTGAAACGAACATATAACGTGGGTTTGCCATAATAACATAATTCAGGAAAAAATTGAAGTTTATGCAAATTTTTTTACCTGACCTTTTGCCTAAAACAGCCACACATTTCCAGTTATAAAAGTGACATGATGAATAAGTACATGTACTATCAAAACATACCCTACTTTAATACCCTATAATTACAATCAAGGTAAATTAGCTGTCCGACAGCTAAAATTTACCTGTTCAGGCGACAGGTAAACTATTCAAAATGAACCGGACGTTGATCGGTCTTTTTAGTTATTTTCTTAAATCTCAGCAGTTTGCATCTAATTAATTTAGTCAAATGATTAAGATTATCAGAAATATTTATAGAAATATGATTTGATGAAAAATTTAAAAAGAAAGTAATAAAGGTTTTAAGCGAAAAATCGCCAGAACCATGTGGTTTGAACTAGTACATGTGTGAGCATGTGTGAGATTTAATTATGCCTCTGAATTCTTCATAAATGCTAAAATTATCACTGATACCTTTTTCGATATATTTCGAGTATTTTCTTGAAGAAATAACATGGAAAGAGCTTCTTAAACTTAGTCGTTCCTTGTAAATGTAAATGGATTTTATGTATCCATCTCTGGTTCGTATTCTTCCATAGTCAAGTCAACATGCAGTATAAGGAAAATGTATTTTTTGAAACGAAAGTAAAAGTTTTTGACAGCGTAAGTTTGCACAAATAAAGAGTCAAAGGCAGATATTAGTATGCTGATATTGAACACTTCGAATGATGCACTGTGAATTTAGCAGTAAACGTCAGAATATTGAATTTATATCAAAAGGTCAAGTTTAATATCGTTTTTATGTCAATCATTGTTTATTTGATGCCCAACTGATTACCATGACTGCCTTTTGATACTAAGTCTTTAGGGATTAAAATCAGGATAAGACATAAATTGTCCGACTGACTCAAATATTTTTAGAAGCCCTGATGTGAATAAGTTTTATTTTCATGAAATTTTCAAAGTCCAAAGCCCGTAATTTCGGCAAAAATCATCAGAGCAGAACCAAACGTAAACTTGATCTGTAACTCATCATAGTAGACTCATATACTAAAATTAAGCTTAATATGTGAAGACGTTTCGAAAAAAAAAGTCTGTATAACTTATTTTCACTAAATTTTCAAAGTCCAAAGTCTGTAATTTTGGCAGTGAAATTTATGTCTACTGAACCAGTTTTTGATACATGATCAGATGTAACATAATACCAAGATACATTATAATAGGTCATGTAGTATTGAAGAACTGGACTTTTCATGTAAACTTAAGGAATAAGCACAAAGATGCAAAAGGTACTAAAATAGTTTCTTTACCACTCTTCTTAAAGCTTCATTTAAGTAACTTAAAGCTGAAATATAACTCCAGCGTATAACCCTTTATACCTTTGGACCATTGAATAGGTAAAAAGTTTCTCCATAAACTTGTGTCTAATGCCAGTCTATTCCAGCGATGTGAAACTTGAGCACACCTGCCCAAGTCCTGTGGATTAAGGTAAGAAAATATTTGTATTGCCACCTCATCGGGTACTTTATCTATTACACAACTTTTCACACCAGGCAAAACGTTCTCCTTAGTTGGTTCAAGCTTTTCTGTGCATTCTTCATCTGATGAATCACCTGAAAGTAGTTTGGGAGATGTCATAAGAAAACCTCATTTATTAGCATACCATATAAAATACTGGGCATCATGCTAAATTGGTTTTCCTCAGCTTTTTAAGAAGTATATATAAATATCATGGTTGGTATAGGAGAGTATTGAGCAAGATTATACATTTAACTGCCTAAGTAACTATAAATGGTATAATCCTATTCACTCTAGCAAAGAACTGAGGGGGCAGGACAAAAGCTCCCTTCATGTATGTAGAATAATATAAATTTTATGTTGTAAATATTTCTTGTTATAAATTTTATATAAAAGGCATATGACTAGAAAATTTGAGACATGCAGTGCACTGGTTGCCCTGCTAAGCATACCCCATTTGTAACTCAAAGTATCAGAAAAAAGGAAGTAGGTGCCTGATAAATCCGAAAAATGTGTAAATGTTACAAGCGACTGCCCAGATATCAAGTCCTTTAGTTCAATAATACCGAGAATAAAATGCTCCACTAGGGCGCAGCTTGATACCACCGCAGAGGTCGAACCCAGAACAGTTGGGGCAAGTATGGACACAACATTCAAGCTTGATACAACACTGAATTTGGATTGTAATTAAATATTTGACACAGCATAGGTTTCTGACACAGAATGAATGTGGTCTAAGAACTTAAAAAAATTTTAATTTACCTATTCAAACCATATCATTATTATTTGCTTTTATATATAAATCAGAAATAACCAATTTAAAATGGAAAATTTTAAAGAAAAAAAAAGGAAAAAAAAATCCCCTCCCCCAATTTTTTTAACCCCCTTATGATTCATCACCCCAAAACTCAATAACAACCTTCCCTTTGTGGTATGGTACCTTGTAGTACAATTTCAGAGAGATCCATACACTTGAACACAAGTTATTGTCTGGAAACTAGAAAAATGCTTGTTTTTTTGGCCCCTTTTAGGCTCCAAATTCCAAAACATTTAGGGCAATTACCCCCAAACTCAAACCCAGCTTTCCCTTTGTGATATGGAACCTTGTAGTACAATTTCATTAAGATCCATATACTTGAACACAAGTTATTGTCCTGAAACTGGAAAATGCTTGTTTTTTGCCCCTTTTTGGCCCCTAATTCCTAAAATTTTGAAGCAATTACCCCAAAATCAATCCCAGCCTTCCCTAAGTGGTATGGTACCTTGCAGTACAATTTCAGAGAGATCCATACACTGGAACACAAGTTATTGTCTGGAAACTAGAAAAATGCTTATTTTTGGCCCCTTTTTGGCCCCAAATTCCTAAACATTTAGGGCAATTCCCCAAAACTCAAACCTAGCTGTCCCTTTGTGATATGGAACCTTGCAGTACAATTTCATAAAGATCCATACACTTACACACAAGTAATTGTCCTGAAACTAGAAAAATGCTTGTTTTTTTGCCCTTTTATGGCCCCTAATTCCTAAAATTTTTAGGGAATTACCCCTAAAATCAATTCCAGTCTTCCCTTTGTGGTATGGTACCTTGCAGTACAATTTCAGAGAGATCCATACACTTGAACACAAGTTATTGTCTGGAAACTAGAAAAATGCTTATTTTTGGCCCCTTTTTGGCCTCTTATTCCTAAACGTTTTGGGCAATTACCCCCAAACTCAATTCCAGCTTTCCCTTTGTGATATGGAACCTTGTAGTACAATTTCATAAAGATCCATACACTTGAACACAAGTTATTGTCATGAAACTAGAAAAATGCTTGTTTTTTGCCCCTTTTTGGCCCCTAATTCCTAAAATTTAGAGGCATTTACCCCCAAAATCAATCCCAGCATTCCCTTTGTGATATGGAACCTTGTGGTACAATATCAGAGAAATCCATACACTAACACACAAGTTATTGTCTGGAAACTAGAAAACTGCTTGTTTTTTGCCCCTTTTTGGCCCCTAATTCCTAAAATTTGTAGGCAATTACCCCCAAAATCAATCCCAGCATTCCCTTTGTGATATGGAACCTTGTGGTACAATATCAGAGAGATCCATACACTAACACACAAATTATGTCTGGAAGTTACAAAAATGCTTATTTTTGGCCCTTTTTGGCCCCTAATTCCTTAACTGTTGGTACCATAACCCCTAAAATCAATCTCCACCTTCCTTTTGTGGTATTGAACCTTGTGGTAAAATTTCATAGAGATCCATTCACTTAAACTAAAGTTAAGAGTGCGAAAACCAATGTGTCTTCGGACGACGACGACGTCATACCAATATACGACCTCAAAATTTTTTTGCGGGCGTATAAAAATGGGATGAAAAATATTTGATGGATGAACATCCAGACAAACAAACAAGGTGAATGCATTATAGCCCCAACTCCTAGAGTATAATTATATCAATATACACAAGAACTACATGTAATAATAATGTTAAAGAACATAAAATCAATGTCAACAAAGTGGATAATTATGTAAACCAGACATAATTCTTTATGTGTCTTTCCGAAGTCAGGAGTCTGTAATGCAGTGGCTGTCTTTTGTTGTTGCATATCATATTTGTTTTTGTTTCTTGTTTTTTATTTAAAGACCATAAGTTTTCTCGTTTAAATTGTTTTACATATTTCATTTCGTGGCCATTTCTAGCATGATATGCAGTAAGTGCTTTGTTCATTGTTGTAAGGCGTACAGTGACCTACAGTTGCTAACTTTTAGATCATTTGGTCTTTGGTGGAAATTTGTCTCATAAGCAAGCAGTGATCACAAATATGTTTAATCCGGCCACATTCTTTATGTGCCTGTCTCAAGTCAGGAGCCTGTAGTTCAGTGATTGTTGTTGGTTCATGTCTGTCATATTTGTTTTTCGTAAATTGTTTTGTTATAAATTAAGCTATTAATCTTCTCAATGAATCATTTTATATTTTTCATGTCAGGGCCTTTATAGCAGACTATACAGTAGGCTGTGTGGTTGCCTATAATTGCTAACATCAACTCCGTTTGAACTTTTAGTGGATAGTCTCATTACATCAACTTTATTTGAACTTTGGTGGATAGTTGTCTCATTGGCAATCATACCTCATCTCCTTAATTTTATATTCATGGCATTTATAGCACATCTTCTTTTTTTTATATAAAGATAAAAACTGTTTTCTAAAGTTCATTGAAGAAGAAAAGTTTTCAGGGAATGTGAAACAATTTCTTATATAGAAAACATAACCGTGTTCATTGAATTTACTTACTCAATACAGAATCTGTTTTCTCTGGAAATTTATCTTTTGCACAATTGTTATTCTGACAGAAGTGTTTTTCCAAAACTTTGAATTTAATTCTGCGTAGTTCATCAGTAGTAAAATACTTGATTAACATTGGCTGAAACACCTACAATATAAAAGTACACAATATCATCAGTATTGTCACAAAGTGTTCTTTAAACAAGGACTAAACTTAACGATTGCACAGTTGCCCAAGGTGACCAGATTGTTGGCTGGGTGAATATATCTCATCTTCCGGATCGCCCAGCTGGCAACTGTAAAATATTTTGCAGTGAATCCCATTTCTACCCTTTCCCCCATGATTTAAACAAAAACTGTTACCAAACAGAAACCTGATTGTTTAATCAAAGCGGGGTTTGAAAAGAGTATTTCCAGAAACCAGTTAGTTCATTTAAATAACCAAAACCTGGTTAGACAACTAAGTTTTGGTTGCGAAGTCACAATTTGACATATACCCTTCTCTAAACATGTGTTCTTATCTATCTTCTTAAAGCGTCTACGATTATTTTATTTTTGTTAAGTGTTTTTGTCTAAACTGTTGAATCTACATTGCTTCAGAGATTCATTCCAGATGACCAGGGAGTAATTACAAGCCCGTATTTGACGATATCTTGTCTATGCATCACTATTTATGAAATCTTCTACGATTTATAGAAACAGCCATATTGTCAAAATGTCACCAGGAGGTTCAAATTGAAGGCAGCAATTTTGGTGGGAAATGTACTAACATCAGTATTGTCAAATCTTATGATATATACATGTATTTCTGGTGGCAATAATTATATATGTGCCAATGTTAATACAACTGCATACCAAATACCATTGACTAATCATAAGTCATTCCCTTTCAACAAACCTAAACACAAACATTAATTTGTAAACCATGTAAAAGTTTCAAAGTCAATGAACCATGATGAGGGAGTTGGGCTTTATAATCTCCATGGAAATAAGACTTGCAAATGCCAATAAATTTGCATACCAAATTACATTGACATAACATTAGCAGTTCATCTTAAACTGATCTAATCACAAACTAATACATATAAACTAAGCAAATGTTTCAAAGTCAATAGACCATGACTGAGTGAGTGGGGCCAAATATTCTCCATGGAAATGAGATGTGCTGATGCTTATACAATTGAATACCAATTAACATTGGCCTACCACTTATGGTTCCCCTTGAACTGACCTAATCACAAACTAATACATGTAAACTAAGCAAAATTTTCAAAGTCAATAGACCATATAAAAAAGAAGATGTGGTATGATTGCCAATGAGACAACTCTCCACAAGAGACCAAATGACACAGAAATTAACAACTATAGGTCACCGTACGGCCTTCAACAATGAGCAAAGTCCATACCGCACAGTCAGCTATAAAAGGCCCCGAAATGACAATGTAAATCATTTTCAAACGAGAAAACTAATTTATGAATTAAAAATTATATATTATATAAAAATTAATTACAAAAAATGAACGAAAAACAAATATGTAACACATAAACAAACGACATCCACTGAATTACAGGCTCCTGACTTGGGACAGGCACATACATACAGAATGTGGCGGGGTTAAACATGTTAGCGGGATCCCAACCCTCTCCATAACCCGGGACAGTGGTGTAACAGTACAACATAAGAACGAACTATAATAAAATGCTCAGCTGAGCCAGCTTGATACAACCGCAGAGGTCGAACCCTGAACAGTTGGGGCAAGTATGGACACAACATTCAAGCTTGATACAGATCTGAATTTGGATTGTTATTAAATATTTGACACAGCATAGGTTTCTGACACAGAATGAATGTGGTCTAAGAACTTAAAAAATTTTAATTTACCTATTATGGTCCAATATCCAAAATCTGAATACATGGTTAGATTCAGCATATCAAAGAATCCAAACAATTCAATTTTTGATGAAATCAAACAAAGTTTAATTTTGGACCCTTTTGACCTCAATGTGGACCAATTTGATAACGGGGCCCAAAAATTAAAATACATGGTTAGATTCAGCATATCAAAGCACCCTATATATTCAACTTTTGTTGAAATCAAACAAAGTTTAATTTTGGACCCCAACTTGGACCAACTTGAAATCTGGGCCCATAATAAATAAAATGCTTCGCTGGGCGCAGCTTGATACGACCGCAGAGGTCGAACCCTGAACAGTTGGGGCAAGTATGGACACAACATTCAAGCTTGATACAGCTCTGAATTTGGATTGTGATTAAATATTTGACACAGCATAGGTTTCTGACACAGAAAGAATGTGGTCTAAGAACTTCAATTTTTTTTAATTTACCTATTATGGTCCAATGTCCAAAATCAAAATACATGGTTAGATTCAGCATATCAAAGAACCCCATATATTCAATTTTTGTTGAAATCAAACAAAGTTTAATTTTGGACCCCAACTTGGACAAACTTGAAAACTGGTCCCATAATCAAAAATCTAAACACATGTTTAGATTCAGCATATCAAAGTACCCGAAGAATTCAATTTTTGTTAAAATCAAACTAAGTTTAATTTTGGACCCTTTGGACCTTAATGTAGACAAATTTAAAAAACGGGACCCTAAATTAAAAATCTAAAAACACAGTTAGATTTGGCATATCAAAGAACCCCAATAATTCAATTTTTGATGAAATCAAACAAAGTTTAATTTTGGACCCTTTTGACCTCAATATGAACCAATTTGATAGCGGGCCCACAAATAAAAAATCTAAATACATGGTAAGATTCAGCATATCAAAGAACCCCATATATTCAATTTTTGTAGAAATCAAACAAAGTTTAATTTTGGACCCCAATTTGGACCATCTTGAAAACTGGGCCAAAAATCTAAAATCTAAATACATGTTTAGATTCAGCATATCAAAGAACCCCATATATTCAATTTTTGTTGAAATCAAACAAAGTTTAATTTTGGACCCCAACTTGGACAAACTTGAAAACTGGTCCCATAATCAAAAATCTAAACACATGTTTAGATTCAGCATATCAAAGAACCCCAAAAAATCAATTTTTGTTAAAATCAAACTAAGTTTAATTTTGGACCCTTTGGACCTTAATGTAGACCAATTTAAAAAACAGGACCCAAAATTAAAAATCTAAATACACGGTTAGATTTGGCATATCAAAGAACCCCAATAATTCAATTTTTGATGAAATCAAACAAAGTTTAATTTTGGACCCTTTTGACCTCAATATGAACCAATTTGATAGCGGGCCCACAAATAAAAAATCTAAATACATGGTAAGATTCAGCATATCAAAGAACCCCATATATTCAATTTTTGTTGAAATAAAACAAAGTTTAATTTTGGACCCCGATTTGGACCAACTTGAAAACTGGGCCAAAAATCTAAAATCTAAATACATGTTTAGATTCAGCATATCAAAGAACCCCATATATTCAATTTTTGTTGAAATCAAACAAAGTTTAATTTTGGACCCCAACTTGGACCAACTTGAAAACTGGGCCCATAATCAAAAATCTAAACACATGTTTAGATTCAGCATATCAAAGAACCCCAAGAATTCAAGAATAAAACCCCATTGAAATTGATCAAGAAATAAGCAATTTATACGAAGTATCTTCTTTTGCACAATACTGTGCAATTGAATATTTCTTGCTATTGTGCAATACTGTACAATTGACAATTTCTTGCTATTGCGCAATATTGTGCTACTGGATATTTCTTGCTATTGCGCAATACTGTTAAATTGAAGATTTCTTGCTATTGCGCAATACTGTGCAATTGAAGATTTCTTGCTATTGTGCAATACTGTGCAATTGAAAATTTCTTGCTATTGCACAATACTTATTATATAATAATTTACACATCCTGTTTGGTGTGTATCTCCTACCATATCATTATTATTTGCTTTTAAATATAAATCAGAAATAACCAACTTAAAATGGAAAATTTTAAAAGAAAAAAAAAAGGAAAAAAAGAAAAAAAAAAAAATCCCCCCCCCCCAATTTTTTGAACCCCCTTATGATTCATCACCCCCAAACTCAATCCCAGCCTTCCCTTTGTGGTATGGTACCTTGCAGTACAATTTCAGAGAGATCCATACACTTGAACACAAGTTATTGTCTGGAAACTAGAAAAATGCTTATTTTTGGCCCCTTTTTGGCCCCCAATTCCTAAACGTTTCGGGCAATTACCCCCAAACTCAATTCCAGCTTTCCCTTTGTGATATGGAACCTTGTAGTACAATTTCAGAAATATCCAAACACTTACACACAAGTTATTGTCATGAAACTAGAAAAATGCTTGTTTTTTGCCCCTTTTTTGGCCCCTAATTCCTAAAATTTTGAGACAATTACCCCCAAAATCAATTACAGCCTTCCCTTTGTGATATGGAACCTTGTGGTACAATGTCAGAGAGATCCATACACTTACACACAAGTTATTGTCTGAAAGTTACAAAAATGCTTATTTTTGGCCCCTTTTTGGCCCCTAATTCCTTAACTGTTGGTACCATAACCCCCAAAATCAATCCCAACCTTCCTTTTGTGGTATTGAACCTTATGGTGAAATTTCATGGAGATCCATTCACTTAAACTAAAGTTAGAGTGCGAAAACCAATGTGTCTTCGGACGACGCCGGACGACGACGACGACGACGACGACGACGACGCCAACGTCATACCAATATACGACCAAAAAATTTTTAATTTTTGCGGTCGTATAAAAATCTAAACATATGTTTAGATTCAGCATATCAAAGAACCCCAAGAATTCAATTTTTGTTAAAATCAAACTAAGTTTAATTTTGGACCCTTTGGACCTTAATGTAGATCAATTTAAAAAATGGGACCCAAAATTAATAATCTAAACACACGGTTAGATTTGGCATATCAAAGAACCCCAATTGCAATAATTCAATTTTTGATGACATCAAACAAAGTTTAATTTTGGAGCCTTTTGTCCTCAATATGAACCAATTTGATAGCGGGGCCCACAAATAAAAAATCTAAATACATGGTTAGATTTAGCATATCAAAGAACCCCATATATTCAATTTTTGTTTAAATCAAACAAAGTTTAATTTTGGACCCCAATTTGGACCAACTTGAAAACTGGGCCCAAAATCAAAAATCTAAATACATTTTAGATTCAGCATATCAAAAACCCCATATATTCAGTTTTTGTTAAATTCAAACTAAGTTTAATTTTGGACCCTTTGGACCTTAATGTAGACCAATTTGAAAACTGGAACCAAAATTAATAAAATGCTCCGCTGGGGCGCAGCTTGATACGACCGCAGAGGTTGAACCCTGAACAGTTGGGGCAAGTATGGACACAACATTCAAGCTTGATACAGCACTGAATTTGGATTGTAATTAAATATTTGACACAGCATAGGTTTCTGACACAGAATGAAAGTGGTCTAAGAACTTAAAAATTTTCAATTTACCTATTCATACATGTGATGGACTGTGAAACTCAGATCAGGAGATTGGGAAATTTTGGTCAGGAGATTAGGACTCAGATCAGGAGGTTTTTAATCGACATTAATTTTGTTGTAAATGTAACCGTGTGCTGTAAAAATGGTCTTTTAAAGTGTGTTTTCTTCAACTTTCCAACCAATTTATTATGTTTATAGTACCCTTGTACTTATAAAGTTTCTCCATCTTTATATTCTACATGTTCAATCTAACATTGTTTTTTTCCAGTATGTTCTTTAAATTTTTTACTTCATATTCTATAAAACAATCATTGCAACCAGAACATTTGTTTAGCTGTCTGCAAATAGTTTTGATTTTTTTTTTTTTTCTCTTGCAAATAGTTTTTATTTGCAAACTCAGAAATTCATACTATCTGTAAAGTTAGGGTCATAGTTAATATATAAATTTCAATTTAAGCCTTAAAAGGAAGTATAGAATCCTCAAATAATTTTCAAATTATTATTTTTTTATTTGTCCTAAGACATTTAAAATCATTTAATAACCATCCTTTTATGATTATTTGTTCAATTTATATTTTATTTATATTCTTTTAAAAATTTTCATTATTAAAAGGAAAGTAACTTAAAACAGGATAAATCAAGGGAAGTAACCCAATAAATACACAGTTTTTGTTACACAACGGCAGTTAGCCTGAGGTAAAAATCGTTGCTTACCAGTATGTTTGACACCCAAGCTGACAAGTGAAGCCATATAATTATGCATGTTAATTGATTTACAGGTAAAATATAACTTCAGGTAATGTCAGTTACACCAGATGCCTGAGATGTTATGTTGGGCAGAAATTTTTCATTCATGAAAAATTTCATACACGGGATTTTTTCAACGGGAGGGGGGGAGGAGACCCCTGAAAACAGGATTATTGTACTCCCGTCGGGAGGTTCACATGTATCCCTATTCAAACCATATCATTATTATTTGCTTTTATATATAAATCAGAAATAACCAATTTAAAATGGAAAATGTTAAAGAAAAAAAAGGAAAAAAAAAATCCCCCCCCCCCAATTTTTTGAACCCCCTTATGATTCATCGCCCCCAAACTCAATCCCAGCTTTCCCTTTGTGGTATGGTACCTTGCAGTACAATTTCAGAGAGATTCATACACTTGAACACAAGTTATTGTCTGGAAACTAGAAAAATGCTTGTTTTTTGGCCCCTTTTTGGCCCCAAATTCCTAAACATTTAGGGCAATTACCCCCAAACTCAATTCCAGCTTTCCCTTTGTGATATGGAACCTTGCAGTACAATTTCATAAAGATCCATACACTTACAAACAAGTTATTGTCATGAAACTAGAAAAATGCTTGTTTTTTGCCCCTTTTTGGCCCCTAATTCCTAATATTTGGAGGAAATTACCCCAAAAATCAATCCCAGTATTCCCTTTGTGATATGGAACCTTGTAGTACAATTTCATAAAGATCCATACACTTACAAACAAGTTATTGTCATGAAACTAGAAAAATGCTTGTTTTTTGCCCCTTTTTGGCCCCTAATTCCTAAAATTTGGAGACAATTACCCCCAAAATCAATCCCAGCATTCCCTTTGTGATATGGAACCTTTTGGTACAATGTCAGAGAGATCCATACACTTACACACAAGTTATGTCTGGAAGTTACAAAAATGCTTATTTTTGGCCCCTTTTGGCCCCTAATTCCTTAACTGTTAGTACCATAACCCCCAAAATCAATCCCCACCTTCCTTTTGTGGTATTGAACCTTATGGTAAAATTTCAATGAGATCCATTCACTTAAACTAAAGTTAGAGTGCGAAAACTAATGTGTATTTGGACGACGACGACGACGACGACAACGACGCCAACGTCATACCAATATACGACCACAAAAATTTTTTTGCGGTCGTATAAAAATCTAAACACACGGTTAGATTTGGCATAACAAATAAATAAATGTGGTCAAAGATTTTACAAATCTAATGCGCCATACTGTGCACTTAAAGATTACTTCTTGAAATTTTTCAATATTTGAAATTTGAAAAAAAAAAAATATTTGAAGAATAATTCTTTTTAATTTCTGAAATCTGAAATGAGAAAAAATTGACCCCCCACAATTTCTTTTTATCCCCCCCCCCCCCCCCTTTTCCCCCAAAAAAATTCTTTCCTTCAAGATATGGTCATAATCTCAATACAAATTTCCAATGGAGTTTGCAACCATAATTACTCATTTAAATTTACCATAGTGCTAACTTAATCTATTTTATAATAGAATTTAAAATATGGTGTCAAATCTTTCATATGGATTTTTTTGTAAAAAAAAAAAGATGCAACATTTGCAGATATTTTTACTGGTCTTTTTTATAAATATGCATTTCTTTAAACATAATTTAAAAGCAGTGTATGGGAAGTAATCAAAACGTTGTATTTGAATTACCTCCCTTACACTGTTTTAAATTGTCTTAATTGTTCATTAACCATTACTTTATACATAATTTAAAAGCAGTGTAAGGGAGGTAATTCAAATGATGTATTTGATTTATCTCCCTTACACTGCTTTAAATTATGTTTTGTAGTAAAGTATTTGTCCATTAACCAGGACAACCTTGTTTTTCCCCCTTTTTTGCCTCTAATTCCTAAACGGTTTGAGCCATAACCCCCCCAAAGCAAATCCTAACCATCCCTTTGTGGTATGGAAAATTATGGTATAATTTCAGAGAGATCCATACACCGTTCCACAAGCTATTGTCTGGAAACTAGAAAATGCTTATTTTTGGCCCCTTTGGGCCCCCTAATTCCTTAACTGTTGGTACCATAACCCCAAAAATTAATCCCAACCTTCCTTTTGTGGTATTTAACCTTATGGTAAAATTTCATAGAGATCCATTAACTTAAACTAAAGTTATAGTGCGAAAACCAATGTGTCTTCTGACGACGACGACGACGCCAACGCCAACGTCATACCAATATACGGTTGAAAGAGGCTTAACTCATCAGATGGATAAAAATACAAATACTACAAATACAATAGACCATGACTGAGGGGGCAGGGCCAAATAATCTCCATGGAAATGAGATGTGCCAATGCTTATACAACTGCATACAAAATATCAATGACCTTCCACTTGTGGTTCACCATAAACTAGACCTAATCACAAACTAATACATTGTTGATGCCGCCGCCGGAAACGGCATACCTATGTCTCGCTTTTTGACTCCGTTGGGCCCCTGAACAAAAATGTTTTTGGGGCAAAGCTGACCCCTGGAGAAAAAGAATTAAGTTTAGTCCCTGATAAGACAAAAATAGTTGAACTTGATGACCAATAATTCAAATTTAAGATGGTAATCTGATTTTTACATCATCATGGACTATTTTTTTTATCAATAAATCAGGAAAATTAGATTAAGTACTCTTAACAACCAGTCTACTGACTATATATAGTTGACTTATTACTTTAATACATTAATATAGAAACTGATATACATGTACTTCAATCAATGAACCATAAAAATGATGTCAAGGTCAGGAAACCTTATCATAGACAAGAAACATCCTACAATCCTGTTAAAGACAAAACTCAGATGATCTACTACTAAACAAATACTGAGAAAATGAGGTCAACGTCAGGAAACCTTATCATAGACATGAATCGCCCTACAATCCTGTTATAGACAAAACTCAGATGATCTACTGCTAAACAAATACAGAGAAAATGACCTATCATGTATGTAACTTTTCATTGATCAATGAACCATGAACACAAGGCAAAGATTAGATGATCAATGTCAGGCAAAATATACCAAACACTTTACAATGATTCTATATACACCAAATATAATTCACCTATTACTTACAGTGACTGAAAAACTGACATCATACCGGAAACTTGACAAAACAACCATGAAAATAAGGTTAATGTTAGATGAACCATGACAGATTGACATGTATACAATACAATCATTCTATAACAATATATAGTTGACCTATACACTGAGGAACTGTCTGATATGATCAAGAATAACTGAAAAATTGATCATGATCCATGAAAATAAGGTGAAGGTCAAATGAACCTTGGCAATAGACCTGTACACCTTCCATTATTCCTGCTGTAGTGGAAATAAAAGCTTAAAATTAATATTGAAATACTTTGTAAAAAGTTATACCTCTTCTTCTTCTTCCATATGAGGAATAAATGTCTCTGTAAAGTCTTCCAATGCCTTCCTCAACTTTGTACCAAAATTTTTTCGATCAACTTCTGTCTTTTGTGTACATTTGTACCCATCTTGCACCAGTTCTAAAATGTCTGTCAATTGGTTGTCTGAATGACAATTGCAAACAGCAGTGTTCCTAACTGACAATGTTCTCAGCTTATCTTTAAGTTTCTTCATGATGTATTTGTTCTCAATTTGTTCATGTGCTTTAAATTCCTTAAATGTATTTACCAGGTTTTCCAACAGATTTGTCAGATGTGAAATGTCTGCAAAATTGATCTCTGATACCTGAAAAATATTGATTTCTTCCATTAAGGGTGAATAGAATTAAGTCAAAGATGCAAGATTGACATGTTTACTTGTCATTCATTCTAGTAACCAAATATATTTGACCTTTTACACAAGGTAACTGTGAAATTAACTAAAGCCTGAAAATTTAAAATTGATCAAAGAAACCAAGTCAAGGTCAGGTGACCATTGTCAGTAGGACATGTACTTCTTTCAATGATTCTTTTGATTTAATATAGTTGATTACTTATAGTAACTGAGAAACTTACCTATAAACTAGTGTTTCCTTCAACTTTCAAAAGGGTAAGGTAATTTTTTACTCAAAGGGCATCCTTAGCATCGAGGACTACACTTTTAGGGCACCCTTACTTAATAGAAATAAATAGAAACTGTGATGAATTTAAACAAAATATACCATTATTGATTTATACTTAATATTTTAAAAATAACGATTACGTTACTGTTTTCATAAAATAAAATTGAGAATGGAAATGGGGAATGTGTCAAAGAGACAACAACCCGACCATAGAGCAGACAACAGCCGATGGCCACCAATGGGTCTTCAATGCAGCGAGAAACTCCCGCACCCGGAGGCGTCCTTCAGCTGGCCCCTAAACAAATATGTATACTAGTTCAGTGATAATGGACATCATACTAAACTCCAAATTATACACAAGAAACTAAAATTAAAACTGATACAAGACTAACAAAGGCCAGAGGCTCCTGACTTGGGACAGGTGCAAAAATGTGGCGGGGTTAAACATGTTTTTTAAGATCTCAACCCTCCCCTATACCTCTAGGCAATGTAGAAAAAACAAAAGTACAACAGTACGCACAGTAAAACTCAGTTTAAGAGAAGTCCGAGTCCGATGTCAGAATAGGAAACAAAAGAAAATATCTTTTTTTAAATAAAATGACTGTAATAGCTCATAGAAAATTGATATTGTGACTTCCATTTTCATTTAATAATTCCAGTTAACTTCAATACTGGCTGCGGCTGGCTAGGATGTACTTGATTATTTGTGAGAAATTGTCAGGACTTTCATGGCAAAGAGAATAAATGTGGATAGTGTCCACATGTGGACACATATGATGCCACCGCTTGCATATCACATAATTATAAAGGGACATAACTGAAGAACGGTAAAAGTGACGCTACCCAAATTTGAACTTGATCTGAGTTTTGTGGTAATAAGCATTGTGTGTAAGTCTCATTACATTTGGTTGAGGCTAACTAAAGTAGAGAACAGAAACTAAAAATTCAGCAACTTTTCTATTTGTAAACACGCATAACTCTAGAAAGGTTGTGTATAAGTTTTATAACATTTGGTTGAGACAAACTAAAATTCAGCAATTTTTATGTTTATAAAGGGACATAACTCAGACTATATACAAAGAATTAGCAAAATCAATTGTGACCCCCAATTTTTTTCTTTGGAAAATTGACAATTTCTTAAATCTTGAGGAAAAAAATTGACCCCCCTCCCAAAAAAAATTTGTTTATCCCCTAAACAATTTTTTTTAACCCCCCCTCCAAAAAAAATATTTGAAGAGAATTTTCTTTTAAGGAAAAAAAATTGCCCAGCCCCCCTTTCCAAAAAAATCAATTTTGAAGAAATTTTCTTTTTGTAAAATGTCGTACAAATTAAGAGACATCCATACACTTAAACACAAGCTATTGTCTGAAAACTAGAAAAATGCTTGTTTTAGACCCTTTTTGGCCCCTAATTCCTGAACGGTTTGGGCAATTACCCCCAAAATGAATCCCAACCTTCTACTTGTGGTATTGAACCTTGTCGTACAATTTCAGAGCCATCAAAATACCTATACACAAGTTATTGTCCTGAAACTAGAAAAATGCTTGTTTTGGGCCCTTTTTGGCCCCTAATTCTTAACCGGTTGGGACCATCACCCCCAAAAACAATCCCAACCTTCCTTTTGTGGTATTGAACCTTTTGTTAAATTTCATAACGATCCATATACTTAAACTAAAGTTATTGTCAGGAAACCAAATGTCTTCGGACGACGCTGACGACGACGTGATACCATTATACGACCGCAAAAATTTTTTGCAGTCGTATTAAAATTGCACATTGTAAAACTTTGGTTTTGTCAGTCATTTTGTCAACTTTGAGGTACCGTGTAGTTTTTCTGTTCTGCCATGATGCAAACATAGATTTCAAATTGTTTACATGTATGATTTCAATTTTCCCAATGATTATGTTCACATTTTTTTTTACACATAGGCTTGGATCATGTGTTATTAGTCATGTCATAAGTGTCAGCTTGGGGTATTTATATCGGAACAGTTATTACCCAAAGGCCAATCAACACCTAGATAATCACTCTAAATTGCCTCTATTGTCCGACTTGAAGGGATTACAATGAAAGGTGATATAATTTTTAGGATCAAAAGCGGTAATTAGATAACAGTTCAAAAATTAGGACACTGATCGATTTTGCGGAACGAATGTCTTAAGAGACAAGAAAAAATAGCATCTTCAAACTAGAGGCTCTAAAGAGCCTGTGTCGCTCACCTTGGTCTATGTGCATATTAAACAAAGGACACAGATGGATTCATTACAAAATTGTGTTTTGGTGATGGTGATGGGTTTGAAGACCTTACTTTACTGAACATTCTTGCTGCTTACAATTATCTCTATCTATAATGAACTTGGCCCAGTAGTTACAGTGGAAAATATTTTGTAAAAATTCACAAAAATTTACAAAATTTATGAAAATTGTAAAAAATTGACTATAAAGGGCAATAACTCCTTCAGGGGTCAATTGACAATTTTGGTCATGTTGACTTATTTGTAGATCTTACTTTGCTGTACATTATTGCTGTTTACAGTTTATCTCTATCTATAATAATATTCAAGATAATAACCAAAAGCTGCAAAATTTTCTTATAATTACCAATTATGGGGCAGCAACCCAACAACGTGTTGCCTGATTGGTCTGAAAATTTCAGGGCAGATAGATCTTGACCTAATGAACAATTTTATCATGTCAGATTTGCTCTAAATGCTTTGGTTTCAGAGATATGAGCCAAAAACTGCATTTTACCCTCTGTACTATTTTTTAGCCATGTCCGCCATCTTGGTTCGCGGGCGGGGTCATCGGACAATTTTTTTAAACTAGATATCCTAATGATGATTGTGGACAAGTTTGTGGTTAAATTTGTCTTAGTAGTTTCAGAGGAGAAGATTTTTGTAAAAGATTACAAAAATTTACGAAAAATGGTTAAAAATTGACTATAAAGGGCAATAACTCCTTAAGGGGTCGACTGACCATTTTGGTCAAGTTGACTTATTTGTAGATCTTACTTTGCTGAACATTATTGCTGTTTACAGTTTATCTCTATCTATAATAATATTCAAGATAATAACCAAAAACGGCAAAATTTCCTTAAAATTACCAATTCAGGGGCAGCAACCCAACAACGGGTTGTCCGATTCATCTGAAAATTTCAGGGCAGATAGATCTTGACCTGATAAACAATTTTATCCGCGTCAGATTTGCTCTCAATGCTTTGGTTTCAGAGATATAAGCCAAAATCTACATTTTACCCCTATGTTCTACTTTTAGCTATGGCGGCCATCTTGGTTGGTTGGCTGGGTCACCAGACACATTTTTTTAAACTAGATACCCCAATGATGATTGTGGCCAAGTTTGGTTAAATTTGGCCAAGTAGTTTCAGAGGAGAAGATTTTTGTAAAAGTTAACGACGACGGACGACAAGTGATGAGAAAAGCTCACTTGGCCCTTTGGGCCAGGTGAGCTAAAAATTAAGGTGTCGCGGAAATTATTTTAGCATCACAGCAAAAAAAAGTACAGCATCGCGGTGCCGTGATGCTAAAACGGCCTGTGGAGATCACTGTGCCATTTATAAACTGCCTTCTTATTAACTGATGCTCAAAGTCTCAAAACTCTGGAATGATATATTGAATTTTTTTAAAAATCAAACAGTATTCACTAATTCCATGTAAAGTTTCCATTAAATGAATCTAAGCGAACTCAAATTATGGTACAACAAGTGAAAAATTCACTTTTATCTGTACTCGTAACTCTAGATCTGGAACAACAAACCAGAAAATAAAAAAAATAAAAAGAGAGCTTCATTTTATCAATCCAAACTAAAATGTAAAGTTTTGAAGAAATCATGCTCATTACTTTATATATGGACAGAGGAAAGGAAGAAAACGCTTCAAGAAATGAATTTTACATATTGGCCCAAATACAATGTTTGAGTTCTATATATCTTCAAAAATAAATTTTTAAAAAAAATTTTTTAATGTCATTTGTATTGTTGTGTATCATTATCTATATACATGTAGTATAGGACCTCTGGCAATTTTCTGAATTTTTACTCCAGTAATCAACCAAGAGTGTACACACTGAAATGTCTTGACTGCTTTAAATTTACTGATCATAATCTATTTTATGTAGAAAGTATAAAATAAAAAGGTTTTTCCTCAAGTATCACATTAACTTAACATTATCAATAATCCATGACAATGAGCTCAAGGTCAGTTAAAGCCTGCTGGACAGACATGTACACCTTATAATCATTCCGTGCAACGAATATAGTTGACCTATTGCTTATATTATCTTAGAAACAGACTAAACAATGAAAACTTAACATTGACCAATGAACCATGAAATTAAGGTCAAGGACAGATGATACAGTATCTGCCAGACATGTACAGGTACATTGTACACCTTTCGATCATTCCATACACCAAATTTAGATGACCTACTGCTTAATAGTTTTAGAATAAAATGCTCCGCAGGGCGCAGCTTGATACGACCGCAGAGATCGAACCTTGAACAGTTGGGGCAAGTATGGACACAACATTCAAGCTTGATACAGCTTTGCATTTGGATTGTGATTAAATATTTGACACAGCATAGGTTTCTGACACAGAATGAATGTGGTCTAAGAACTTAAAAATTTTAAATTGGACATTCACCTACCATGGTCCAATATCCAAAAT